TAAAGAACGGTGATACATTTAAACGTTTTTTAAAATTGGATAAAAATTGTGACTTCAAAAGGGTCCATGAGCTAATAATAATCAGGGGCAATAATCCAGGAAGTTACGGTCGGATATGAGCAAATCTTTGGGTTATATTGATACATTTCAAGTTTCATCAAAATCGGATAAAAATTGTGACTTCTAGAGTGTCCACAACCTTGGTATTACAAACTTTTACTTATTTGCGTACAAGGAGCGGTCATTTTGTCCGGCAGTTTTGGGTCAGATTTTTATGAAATTCGAACTCACCTTGATGTGTAACAGTGATATATTTAAACGTTTTTTTATAAAAGTGAATACAAATTGTGACTTCTAGCGGGTCCACAAGCTAGAAATGCGATTTTTCGAAAAATCAGGAGCCCTAATCCAGGAAATCACGCTCAAAGATCTTTCTGATATAAACATAAATTTACAGTTTCGTCAAAATCGGATCAAGAGGATCCACAACCTTGATATACCATATATTTACACTACATGTATTTGCGTACGAGGGCGGCCATTTTGCCCGACAGTTTTAGTCCGATTTTCACGAAATTCGAACTCAACCGACAGACACTATACGGTGTAACGGTGATATAATATTCGGTCGTTTTTTTTTAAATCGGACAATAATTGTGACCTCTGAACGGACCACAAGTTAAAAAGGCGATTTTCCGTACAATTAAGGGTCATAATTCAGGAAGCTTATATTTTAATTAAAATATAGCCCTTTATAAAACATTTTTTGTTTTACTATATTATATACATCAATAAAAAAAACAACTATGTGATCAACGACATTTCTCATAAACAGTCTGTGATTGAAAGTTGAGTAAATTCTTAGCTTAGGTCTAAAAATGCTCTGTGAAACCGGGGCCAAGAAAGTTCCTGCATGGTGATTTTCCGGCGTGGTACTCCCCTTGTCATTGGTGCAGGACGGAGAGCCTGGTAAAGACGGCTGTCTAGTCCTTTGGACGTGACCAAAAACTGAGGTTCCGTATACACATTGACGTGCACGTAAAAGAACCTTTGACAGTTTGAATTCGATATAACAGTAGGCCGTACCGACGCTGTCTGGGCGCAATATTTCCCTTATAGCACACTGTATGGCGTATGCCCGTCTTCATTAGCCCAGACGGCGCAGAACAGTAAGACGTTAAACCACATTTCATCTCTCTCTCTCTCTGTAAACCACCTGGCAAGTTTCTCCTTTAAAGAGATTAAGGTAGCATTAACTGTAGGTCTCATAAGTCTGTCAAAAATAAATGTCCGTGTCTTAAGAGTTTATTTAAGACTGTCAGTCTGGGTGCCTTACGGAAAATTTATACCCTATAACTCCAGTAGCGCAGCCAACCAACTGACGTCAATTCCGTCATTGGATGAGATCTGGTTGAACATTAAATCTAAACATTTCTAATCAAGTATAGTTTTTATAGCGGTGAGTGGGACTATTATAATTCTGTTCCCTATATACACAGACAATTCAAATATACCATGAACTCTAGTAGGTGGTGGGTTCCTTGAATAATAATCAATTTCATGACAATACAGTGCTGGAAATTGAAAACTTTGATACCATTGAGAAGTTTTGGGGCGAGTGTAGGTTTCGATTAGGCTATTTTTACTACAGTAAGTCGTCTACTACTTGAGAGATGGAATAGGTAAACAGCACCCTTTAACACAAATCAAGAGGCTTTCACACCTCAAAACTCCGCGGGTGGGTGAGATGGTCGGGGGGGGGGGGGGCAACCTTTCCAATTCCCTCTATACCCCCCAGTGCTTTAGATTTCTTAAACGATCCACTGATCTGTGTATATAATAAGTGTATTAAACAATCTACTGATATATCAAGCAAGTAAGTGCCCGAAAGGTTTACAACCCCCCCCCCCCCCAAAAAAAAAAACAAAAAAAAAAACAAACAATAACAATCATAATATGACGTAATCTTTGTTTGTGTCAAATTGAATAAAACTACTTTCCGGCGAGATGACAATCATGCAATACGATTTATGTTCTACTGAGGGGCTCAGCGTTATTTTATGCATTTTATTACGTGTTGTGTCGACATTCATTGTGGGTGGGGTTGCGGATAGCGCCCTAGATTTGAGTCCCCCTCCCCCCACTATCCACAGCTTCTAGATCCGCAACTGTGGTATTACACGTATAATGTATTCCATGTATATTACGGTACATGTATAATATACAATCCACTGGTCCATGTGTATTAGGCGTATATGTGTATTGAAAGTGTAATACACAATCTACTGGTCTATGTAATATACAAACAATCTGTGTGTATTACAAGTACAATATAAACCCATCTGGTCACTGTATATCTAATCTCTCTAGCTGGCCGGTCACCTCTGGCTTGCGGTTGTGGTTTCGATCCCTGGTGTGGGCGTATGTGGCTTGGAGATAGGGGCGCCTTCTCAACCTCGTGGGTTTACTCCGGGTACTTCGGTTTCCTCCTACAGGAAAGACCCATGTGCGTGCGATTAGATATCACCTTGGGTAGAAGCGGACGTTAAACACTAAGAACAACATGTACATCGCAAGTGTAATATAAGGTAAAATATTATGGAAATATTATGGGGTCGAGCATTGTCTTGTTGAAACGTTAGTCCAGGCCCATGTCTCTGCATAAACGGAAGAAGAACAGGTTGCAAAATCTGATCCCTGTACTGGACAGCATTTAAGTTCCCTTGGACAACAAGAGGAGAACGTCCATGTGCACGAAAAGAACACCAAACCATGACGCTGTCGCCACCAAATCGGTCAACATCTCTGACGCATACTTGAGCGTAACGTTCACCTCGTCTGCGGTACACTCGGACCCTGCCATCGGCAAATCTCAAAGTGAATCGAGATTCGTCACTGGCCCACACAAGTCGGTTACGGCGATGAAGAGGTGTCAATATTGGTCCATTACAGGGCCTCCGAGCTCGAAGACCAGCAGCCTGCAAGCGATTTCGAACAGTTTGTGCTGTTACCCTTCCACCAAACATCTCTCTACTTGTGGGGGTTGCAGTGACAAACCTGTTTCTAAAATGACGTAATCGCATTGCTTGATCTTCCTGGAGTGACGTCACACGTGGCGCTCCCGCCCTTGGGCGGTCGGCAATAGTTCCAGTTTGAAGCACTCTCATTCTAAGATTAATTATTGTCTGGCGTGAACAATTAAAGGCTCTTGCAACAGTGACCACAGACTGACCAGCATAGAGCCTACCTATAGCACGTAGACGTTCTACATTTGAAAGGCGCGGCATTTTCTAACAAAGATGAAAATAACAATTTTAATTTGTTTTTCCAGTTCCAGCTTGCACATGTGCGTGTTCAGTTTAAGCAAGCTTGCATCGATTGGCCTCACGAGTTTGTGTTTGCACGTGTTTTTCAGGTTTTTCATCTTTATATGCTCAAAAGTCACGTGATCCACGTGACTACAATTTTATGAAATTAACGGCTTCTTACTACTTACTATCGTTAGAAACACTTTAAAATTTATTTGACTTACCAGAAAAAAAATTTGTTGAAATTCATCAGTGTCAAGTTTTTAATTTGGCTGAGTATATAATACACAATTTACCCGTATGTGTGTATTACACGTATAATACACAGTGTATTATACCTAATGACCTTTGGCTATACGAGAACGTAGCTAAAAACGTTGAGATATACTGATGCGCCTGTTTTTAGCTACGATTGGGTGCCCTTAGTTTTAAGTGGCAAACTCAATTTCTTTATTAATGCATGTAACATCGTAAAAATAAGATAATTTTATACTGTTATAGTGGCGCAACTTTCGCCTAACCCCAATTATTCGCGTTTCATACATCTCTTGTTTAAAAATGGCGTTCCTAGTTACGGCTTAACGCCTCGATTTAAAAACGATGATTTATACCCATTTCAGGTAGGATTATGCTTAAATGTAGTTGGGTGTGGTAGAAATATAAATAAATAACAATAACCAATCGTTGTTTTGATGAAAAATATTGTCAATTTTGCTTACTGATGCCCGATGTGATTTGTGTTGGGTTTTGTTACTATATAGCACCATATCTTATCTCGAAACACGAAGGGTTGAGAGATGAGGTTTGTTATCTAATACGTAGACCTATTGGGTAAAATCTTTTGACTTTGAGTAGCCTCTTTTTAATCTGAGGAAACCCAACCCAAGCCTGGATTGCAGCGTGGATTAAGCTGTTGAATACCGCGTATTGTCCAAAAATATATAAATGACTATCAGTGTTTTTTTTAGAGATGAGCCCTATCCTGCAGCAGGCTATGTATATCGTTCTTAAAATTTCATAAAGTGGGTCGTCACTTTAAAAGAAAGAGTTTATCTGTACGCTTTGTAGGCTACGTAGGCTACTAGTTCACTAAATTTCTTTTTCGGGGTTTTACAAGTATTTTTCGACTGGATTTGAATACTGTTTTGATTACCCTTTAATCCACAGTGATATCTGGTTCGTCGTTTTTTTTATTTTTATAAAAGCTTCATCTAAAATAACATTTTCACAGTATGGATTGTCCCTTTAAACAAACAGTTATCTCCCTTTATCGGACTTTGGGTTGGAAGAAGATGAAGATCTGTGCGGTATTTTGTAAATGAAATGAAATGAAATGGGGTTTAACGTCCTACTGTTCTGCTCCTAACCTGGGCTAATGAAGACGGGCATACGCCATACAGTGTGCTATGAGGGAAATTTTGCCCGGACAGCGGCACTACGGCCTACTCTTATATCGAATTCCAACTGCCAAGGGATCTTTTACGTGCACGCCAATGTGTACACGGGACCTCGGTTTTTCGTCCCATCCGAACGACTAGACAGCTTTCCTTGTCAGCCCCTCCGTCCTGCATCACTGACAAGGGAGAACCACGCCGGAAAATCTGGATGAACTTTCTCGGCCAATGCAGGGATCGAACACCCGACCTCCAGGCTAGCGAGCTAGCGTCTTACCCACTTAGCCACGTGATCCCCGTGCGGTATTTTGTCACTTAGTCCCGTTGTTGTAAAGTAATAATTATTTACTGATAATGTTTACCAGGCCTATATCAGCCAGAGTTCCAAATAATAAGTATTTGACTAAGATAATAGTTTGGTAGGTTGACCAATTTTATCAATATTTCTGTTGCCCACAGTCAGTTAACCGTGACGCCAAGCAGTTTTATTTTAATCTGGTTTAATTTCTGTGTTACAAGACAGTGTTCTGCTTTCTTTGAACGGACACTTTGTTTGTATTCATACCTGTATAGATCTACCTCGTGTATATTATAGTTGTATGAACCAACGAAAGAAATAAAGACCTATAATATTGTCCTCGTCACAGCTTAGATTATGCTTTAAGATTTAAATAGGTAACATTGATATTATTGCGGACGCCTTGGAACACCAAGTGGGGCCATCCCAAACTTAGGCTGCCTGTCTACAGCTAGCTCCGCCTGAATTCTCGTATGACGTAGGTGGAAGGCAGTGTGCAGTATGCAAGTGGGGCTTGGTACTTAGAGAATTACCCTCTATCACTACTTAATTGAATGTTTTGTGGCCTTTAAATGGAGTTGTCTCCCTTACGTGACTGCCAGCATCAAAACTAAAACACTATCTCTATTTACTGCTATAAATGCTTATACATATAATTACTGATAAAACACACTAAGAACACACTGGTCCATGAATTAATGTAAGCTACAGTTAATCCCTTTCTGTTAAAGGAGCTAAATCGCTAAAATTTGGGACCTAGAAATTGACAAAAGTGGGTCGCAACCCATATAATACTGAAATGTGAATGTATATAAACTGATTTACATTCAATGGTTTCCATTTTTACTCCAATTTCAAATCAGTTATGTTCGGCGAAATAAGCCAGCAGTCTCAAGCGAGTGCAAATTTCTAGCGTCTGGTTATTCCAGTCTACATACGCCGTTTGATTTGGTGCAATGTGTCTAGCCTCGTCCCTCGAGTCTCTTGATACAACTGGGGCTGAAGTGCATTATGGTACACAATTCGTGTACCAATGGTAAAATGTTTATTTTGTCTTAAATATTGGATATCAAAAGCCCATCTTTTCCCAGTAAAATCACAACATAAATGTTGATTTAATTTGACAAATAAATCGTGTTTTCAATGTTGAAGATTGTGGATGATATTGAGTTAGAGACTTAGCTACTTTAAAAAAAAAAGCTGACAATGTGAGTAAAATGTCTACATTGTAACTCTTATTCTTAACACATGATCAAAAGTGTGTAAAAAAAGCTCATTATGATCAAATGCTGAATTGAGAAATAAATATCTATCATTGATTTTTGTTGAAGGTCAAAATGAGTAGATCTAACAGTAATATGGATGAGTATAAAACAGTAGGTGATTCACTAGAATGCAAGACCTATTTCCCTGGCTTCAGTTACGGAGATTTTGATAGAAATGGTAAGGCTAGACAAATTCAGCAATCAAAGCTTATTCTCAGCACACAGCATCAGTAGCCTAAATCAAAATAACAATACAAGCTGCCTTTAAGCCAATTGAACCAATTGCATATAAACGTGAACGAGGGGGGGGGGGTCTGCCAAAAATGTTCCAAACTGATACCTGCAGCTCCTATATATGACCTAAGACTGGCCAAAAATGTCTCCAACTGAGCTCTGCAGCTCCCAAGGCCAGCCCGACCATGTTTGTCCTAATGTTACTTGTCAATAAGGGACAACACAAATTTATTTCAAAATATGTATGAATATATATATATTTTTGTTTTACATGAGTAATGTCATAATTTCGAATAAATATAGATGTCCAGGCAGCAAAAATATACCCACAGCAGCTAACTCAAAGATTGTCACATATTTATTCATTTGTATGTAAAGGGACAATAGACATTAAAGGACAATATTGGTGCCAGTCGTTATCACATATGTGATATAGCTGGTTAAACACATTCCAAATATAATTTTAACACAGAGATCATTGCTACGATAGCTGAGTAATACAGGTTTCCTGAATCGGAAGTGACGAACGCCAAAGGAAAACAGGTGTCATGTTTCTATATAACTAACTGATGTGACGAGTGATAACAGATACACGGCTGAATTTCTGCTCACTAATAATTCCTTCGAAGACCAAAAGTTGTTATATGGGACTGTAAGAGAATACCTGACAATTCAATAAGGCAATTGAACGCATTAGATAAGAGAACACGAGAAAAATAGAAATAGTCCGTACATTCCCTTGTTTATGTTCATTCTATACCTTATAAAAACATGGTAATGCACAGACTTTTTCTGTTTTTCTTTCGTGTTCTCTTATCTAGTGGCAGTCAATTCTTTTTAAGAATTGTCAGATATCCTCTCACAGTCTCACATAACAACTTTTGGTCTTGGAAGGAATTATTAGTGAGCAGAAATTTGCCCATGTATCTGTTATCACTCGTCACTTCAGTCAGTTATATAGAGGGATGCCTCGTGTTTTCCTTTGGTGTTCGTCACTTCCGATTCAGTTAACCTGTATTACTCAGCTATCGTAGCAATGATCTCTGTGTTAAAATTATATTTGGAACGTGTTTAATTAGTTCTATCACATATGTGATAATGACTGACACCAATATTGTCCTTTAAACACTATATAACCAATAGTAACAAACCATGTAGTAATCATAAGACAAATTATAATTTGATTGGTTTGGCTTCTCGTTCTTCAAGTTTCTAGTGCCAACATTGATTATACAAAAGATTTATTGGTAATCGATTGATATGAATATATGGCAGCATTTTAAGAAAACATATACAGTAGTTTTTTTAAATCAATTTTTTTTTCTTATTTTGCTCTTCAGGTTGTATAAGTGCTTGGCAAATGAGTAAATATTTTGAAGGTGGACGATTGTTTGGCCTGATGAATATGTTTCTTAGTGAACTTCACAGACCTTATAAACCTAACACAAACTTATTCCTAGTTGTTCAACACATACAGCTTGAACCCAATAGTCTCTGGCTGAAAACATGTCCTTTCTCTATTACCATGAAGTTGATGCACATTGGTACATCTTCCTCCACTGTCAAGCAGGAAATGAGAAACGAGAAAGACCAATCGCTACTTGGTACTTGTGATTTCAAGATGGTCCGAGTTAATCGTGAAACGAGGCGTCCGGAACCTTACAGAAAAGACATGCTTGAGAAATATAGTAACATTCTTGGAACGAATGATCCACAAGCATCGTTATTTTCTGTTAAAATACCTGATCTTCCATTAAACGCATTTCGTTTACCGGTTTTCGTTTTACACAGTGATACAGACGTAAATATGCATTTGAATCAAAGTCACTATCTACGATATTGTCTAGATTGTGCAGCGATGGCAGCAACGAAAGGAATATATCGATATTTTAATCAGGATATATGTAAATATCAGGCGTTAGATATATTAATGTTGTTTAAACGAGAAGCTCTATCGGGTGATTTAGTAAATGTTCATACATGGCAGGATGAAATAACACAACAAGACTTGCACTTCATTATTACCAAAGATAAAAATTTCATATTTTATACTAAAATAAAGTTTGATGTTAATCCTATACCCAAACTTTAACAGTAAATTTCATTCAATAATCTATTATGTTAACAAATATAATTATGAACTATAATTATTAATTTTGAAATATTTCTTTTGATATCCATTTTTATACTTCAAGAGTTCAATGTCTTCTTGTCATAAAATAATTTGACCAAAATGAATTCATATCAATATTTAGTACATTTACTAGTATTATTTTATTTCAAAAGATAATCTTTATTAATACAGTTTTAGAATTTGACATTGATAATTATATAATATAGATATTTACATGAAATTATGATATAAACATATAGGAAAGCATAAAGTATAAGCATTTTATATAGTAAAGGCAGGAGGACTGCACCACACACAAACAATTACCATTACCCAAGACAAACCTACGGACAAGACACAATATACAGACACCACAAACAACAAATGCACCTATCAGATCAAGTGAATTGATACAGAGGCCAATCGTAAGTATCCACTGTGCTGTACAGTCCCTGGCCTGTAGTGATATAGACTTCACTTGAAATATAAACCAACTAACAAGGGAAGCAACTCCAGAAAAAAAGAATATTTCCCAAATCTTGTAACAGACTAGTCATAATCGGCAATGTGCTACATGAAATATAAATGTAGGCATATTGAAGGAAAAACCCTGTACAAGTAACCATTTTTGTGATGAAGTAAAACTAAAAGGCCTATGTCAAGTGGACCAGTGATTGTAAAGTGACCCCCTCAGAATATTAGGAAAAAATATGTTATAGTACATACAAATTAATATTGACTGAGATATGGCCTTTTGCATAGGGGTACCCTTTTGCATGTTTTGAAACTACTATTCTATGACTCGATTTTGGTGTAGCCAAGTAAGGCCTACTGATTTTATATCTTCAAGTTAGACAATATTCTTGAAATTATGGGGCTTGTAAGATAATATTATATGGATTAAGAATTAACTATCAAATTTTGCAGAACAAGTACCGTCAACTGTGTATGGAGTACGCAAAAATTGATAACCTGTGCAAAAAAACACAACTAATGCACGAAAGAACTGCCCACTGTGCCCCGACATGTACCACGACATGTACCACCTTATCCACCTTCATTCCTTTCAGGTTTTCTACACGACAGATATCAGTAAAGCTATTTATGAAATTATTCTACACATATAGAGAATCTCCTACCAGTCTTTTTTGATATCAAAAAATATCAACACAAGTTGATAAAGTAACAAAAAACGAGGCTATGATATCAAAAAAGACGAGTAGGAGATTTTATTTATCACCCAATCCCTTCTTACATGCACAAATAGATAAATATAATTCTTTGCTGTAGATTTCACTTTTACTGAAGATTACGGCGTAGTGATACATCATTTTTTGACAGCAATTCAACCATTGCAAAGTCCTTTATATTGACCCAGTGTTTCCATCAAGGTCAATTGAATAACAATAGTTCATTTTTAATTAAAAAAAAGTTATTTTTAATAAGAAATGAACTGTTCTTTGAAAATAAAAAAAAGTAGTTCCTTTTCAACTGACCAATCAAATTCATGTAAAGCGATATCTCCTAAGGAAACTTCATATCTAATTCTGCATGGACTATTGTTATTAAAAGAAATCACAAAATGAACATTTGTACTTTGAGCAAACAAAAAGGCATTTTTTTCCCTAGCACAGCTTAATGTAAAGAAGGATATAACAGTTATCCTCCATATTTTTGTTATGTGCTTTATTCCACTGTGCCCCAGTCTCCCCATCTATTTCACTAAATTTGTTTTCAGAATTTTGTTTGTACTTATGGATTCATCAATTTGAATACCGTAGAGGATCGATGGAACTATCATATCGGTTTCGTTTTTTTTTTGTTTTTTTTTACTTTTATAAAAGCTTCATCTTCCAGTTTCACAGTAGTTGATGGATTGTCCCTTTAAAACAGTAAAACAGTTATCTCCCTTTATTGGACTTTGAGTTGTGAGATGAGGATTTGTACGGTATTTACTCACTGATTTTGGTTGTTGTAATTTGAAAGTAATAATTATTTACTGTTTGTGTTTGTTCCACAACCAGAGTTCAAAATAGATGTATTTATCTCAGATGATAGAATTTAGTAGGGCGACCAATCAATATTACTGTTGCAGATCGACTGCAGCCAAAATTACAAACACTAAATACTAAAGTAAACAGTGACGTCTGACGGGCAGTTTTATTTTAACTGTCTTACAACTTACAAGACAGTGCTAAATATTGCTTTAGATATTTAGTTAATATCTACATTGTCGTATATATAGTCGTACTCACGTGAGAAAAGAATAAAGACTGAATAACTGGCATGCATTGTAATTGTTTTGTGTCCTTTAAATGGAGTTGTCCCCCTTACGTGATTCCAGCTTTATTTTTTTACTACCATCAAAACTAAACTAGGTCTTTTGACTATTGATTGTTATAAAATGCTGATATATATATATATTCTACAATGCATAAATCCATTCTAATAAACACAGTCAATATACACACTGGTCCACGAATTCATATTTTAAACTTAGTAAGATCACAATGAATTCAGAAAGAAAATATTTGTCCATTAAATTTTTTGTAGGTCAAAATGAGTAGAAGTTCTAGTAATATGGATGAATATAAAACAGTAGGTGATCCACTAGAATGCAAGACCTATTTCCCTGGCTTCAGTTACGGAGATTTTGATAGAAATGGTAAGTCCAGATAAATTCAGTAATCAGAACTTTTAATATCTTGAAAGGCAGCTGCCCAGGCAAAATTGCTACCGACCTTGTCTTAGTTACTATACTTGTAACGTTAAACTGTGTGTTTAACGTTACAATTGATCATACAGTCTAAGACTCCTTACGCAAGTTCAAATAGGTTCAAACGCACAATTGTCAACACATATCATTACAGTTTGTATTGTAATAAGTAATTCTATGACAAATAGTGAAGACTGGACCACTAAAATAGTTACCGAACAGTTTTTCTTTGTGGTTATGCGATGTTTCTTGTAATGACGTATTACGCAAGCCGCCATGACACCCTCCAGTTGAAATTTCGCGTAGCAGTTGGGTTTCATCAAATCATATAAATATGCGGTAAGGCTTCACCTTTATTTCAATGGGAATTGATTTATTATATGTTAAGCTATGTGCAAATTAAGGGAGCTATAGACCAGTAACCTTTTTGTAGTCATTTGACTAAAAACCTTGCCCAAAGGAACTCTGTAGGACGAGCCACTACTGTGGCTGGAGTAAGGCGGAAGACATCAGTAGTGGAACCATTTCTAACCTTGTCTGTGAACCTGCAGGTCGACGAAAAAAGTTCTCAGCTGAGCTCTGTAAAATGTTCTCAGCTGAGCTCTGCATCTTCTTAATGATGGTCAACTCCAATTTATTCCAAAATCCAACCTTTTATGTTATCGTAGGAGTTCTAATCAAGGGAATTCTAGTGCAAATCTAAAAATACTGCCATTATGAACACCTCATACTTAGCTAGGTGGAATATTGTAAACAGCCATTCCACTCTATACCACTGACAGAAGCAGATATATTCCAAATTTCAGGATGCTATTGTTATATATTTTGTAAGAATATTAATCAATTTTAGCTTGTATTTTTTGTTTTTCGTGAAAAATGTAAAATTCTAAATGCACAACCACATGAAGCCATAAAGAGAACATGCCATAAAGTAGTTTTGTCAAGCCAAATATTTTGTCTTAAATTCTATTTTTCAGGTTGTATCAGTTCTTGGCAAATGAGTAAATATTTTGAAGGTGGACGTATGTTTGGCATGAAGAATATATTTGTTAATGATCTTGTTAAGATCACTAAAAATACTATCAACTTTATACTTGCTCAGCACATACAGCTTGAACCAAATAGTCTCTGGCTGAAAACGTGTCCTTTCTCTGTAACCCTGAAGTTGATGCACATTGGTTCAACTTCCTTAACTGTCAAGCAGGAATTGAGAAACGAGAAAGACCAATCGCTACTTGGTACTTGTGATTTCAAGATGGTCCGAGTTAATCGTGAAACGAGACGTCCAGAACCTTACAGAAAAGACATGCTTGAGAAATATAGTTACATTCTTGGAACTAATGAGCCACAAGCATCATTGTTTCCTGCTAAAATTCCTGATCTGCCATTAAATGCATTTCATATACCGGTGTTTGTTTTACACAGTGATACAGACAGAAATATTCATTTAAATCAAGGTCAGTTCCTACGATATTGTCTAGATTGTGCAGCGATGGCAGCAACGCAAGGGGTATATCGATATTTTAATAAGGATATATGTAATTATCAGGCGTTAGATATATTAATGTTATATAAACGAGAAGCTCTATCGGGTGATTTAGTAAATGTTCATACATGGCAGGATGAAATAACACAACAAGACTTGCACTTCATTATTACCAAAGATAAAAATTCCATATTTTATGCTAAAATAAAGTTTGCTGTTAATCCTATATCAAAAATTTAACAGTAAATTTTGTTTAATTACTTTATTGTTATTATAGAATTGTGAAAATTTGTTTTGATATCCATTCTTATATTTTGAGAGTTCAATGTCTTCTTCTCATCAAACTATCTGACCAGAACTATTTCATATTATCATTGATTTTTACATGTTATTTCTAAAGATAATCATTAGTAATGCAATATTAGAATTGGGCACTCATAATTACAATAATTTTTTGTTGATTGTTAATATACCGGTTTTCAAGAAATGTAAATATTTTTTTGCTAATAAATTAAAAATAAAATCTATAAATGATCTAATCTTTTATCTGTTGTTATAGAACACAATTACCACCAGATACTAACAAAAATCACAGATGCTTGTACATTTGAAATGCCTTCATACAATATTATTGCTTCAAATCGACAAATCTAATGGGAGATAACTGTTGTATTACAAGGCCAGTAACTTCTCTCAACATCTTATCTTCATCAGAGATAAAATAGGAGGTGGGGGTTCAGTTTTCAGAAATGTTTGATTGATAAAGAATTCAGTCTCCGCAAAATAAGTCTTATTTCCATCACAAAAACCCAGGCAAGAGAGAAAGAGATCTGCTTGCATATAGGGGTATTTAGCAGTGGGAGGACCCAGAGAAATAACACAAGGTTTGTCAGGCTTCAATGCTACTCTCTGTCACATACAAGCAAGGAATCAAATCGCACCACCCGACTCAATGACAGATCTTATGATCTAGAGCGCACCTCCAGACAGACTCTCGTTGATCACTGAAGAATTAAACAAAATACTTTGAGCAGTTAATAAATATATTTCATACATTATTTAACAATAGAAAAACAAAATGTTGTGATATATGACATTACATGTTATATTCCTCATACTATATTTTTATCAATGAATTAAGTGTACAATCATCTAATACCATCAGCATGGGATAAATTATATTTATAACAGAATAAGACAAACCACATGTCAATCAAACATAATAGGTATTGCAATCATTTTTATGTACTCTAATATTAACCTATATTTAATTTTTATCTATTAAATTCTTTAACCATTTTTAAATATTAGAATTCATAATCCAAGAAAATTGTCAATTTTTATGCAGAAAGCAATTTAGAAATTATCAAAACAAAATTTTGATTTTTAGAATTCATAATCCACCGAAGTATGTAACTGAAATTACTTAGAATTGATTTCAATTTTGTTAGCTATAAACGAATATTTTTAAAATATATTTCAACAATTCTTAATACCATATTCAACAATTTAAATGACACTTCACATATTTGAATATTTCACTTTTCTGATAAAATCATATCATTATTCGCAAATTGAAATCCATGACATGAAAAATGATAAATATCGTGTTGTGTTTTTTTCTCCATAAAGAGCACAAGATACTTCATATAACAGAAATATAGATTGTCCTACATCTTTAGTAGATGTAAAATGTCTCAAGTTTTACACAAAGATAATCATCATCTAACAGTTGAGATTTAAAACACATATTTCTAGTCCATGATAATAATTGTTAATATTCTGCGACACTATGTCATTTATCGGAACTGTATTGGGCTGATACGTAATCCTATACTATCTTTACCAATCTCTGTCACCTGAAAATAAACAAAGAAAACAGTTGTTATTGAAAATATAGAACATATTTCATGCTATTTCCACCAATAGTACACCTGCACCACACTGGATTAATGGGATCCCACAGACAACCTTACTATAAATTTATAACAATAAGAAGGGTTCTTATAAATCGTGTGACTTCAAAGAGTATTGTATGCTCAAACCGCTAACAAAAGTTCCAGGTAATGGTTATAAATATGAACATTTAAAAAGGTAGGTTTTGATTTGTTTAAAGGCGTTGAGAGATGGGGCTGTCCGTAGATGTAGTGGTAGAGAGTTCCAGGTAGATGCTGTCATAACAGTGGGACTATTTGTTTATCACCAAACACCTGCTTATTCCATTTTATTATTACAGTACAGTCAAAGGCCAAATTATTGAGATGGCCAAAAATATGAATCAATTTTATGTCTTGTTCCACCAACCCTAAACACTAAATTAATTTGAATTCAATCTTGATCATAAAAATATTTTGACACTGCCAACTTTTCCGTAGTGGAGCTTATGTCATATGCACACCTTATATTAGAAGTATACTGAATGAAATGTTTATGATTGTTATGTAGTAAATATAATTATTCTTACCCCTGAAACTCGACAGACTTGACCTTTACATTCTGGTACATAACAAGCTCCACTTAAAGGACATTTAACAACAGGTTTACCCCTGAATAAATCAAATATAATAAAACATTATTTTTGTGCAGCCTTTCATTCCATTATCTGTCAATTCAGTCAGATTTGTTGAACTATATCACTGCTCTCATTTTAGTCATATTTACCACTCTTGACTGATTGGTAGTGAACTAGGTTAGGCACTTACCTGTCAGTTAATTTACAGGCCACAGAGAGAGAGAGAGAGAAATGGGTTTAACATCCACTGGACACACACTAGGTAATTTCGGGACTAACACATGGTTCAATTTCATTTCAACATCGCTTGCGCGTAGGGGTCTTTAGTAGTGGTAGGAAACAGGAGAAAACCCATGAGGTTGGACAGGCGACCCTACTCCTTGTCACGTACAAATGGGGAATCGAAACCACGCCAGTTGACTCAATGACAGACCTTATGATACAGCGCGCACATGATGACCATTCGGCCATCCAACCCCCTACAGGCCACAGAATTAAAATTTCAAATAATATATTTTAAAACACAATAACTGCATTTAAAATTTTAGTAGTTTTTATGTGTATAAACACTCAAAAATATATTTTGAAAATTGGAATAAGGTTAAAATTGTCACATTCTTTGGCCTATCACAGCATTTAAAGGTACTAACAAATAATTAGCTAATTTTACCTGTATATAGGAACATAGGTGGCAGCACAGATATCAAATGGATTATGTTGATCATATTTTAACTCGTGTTCATCTGTGGCATTCTTTTCACACGCTGCTAATATTTTTCTAGTCTAAAACAAGAAGGTGTATAAAGTTAAAGGGGAATTATGGAAGATTAGATAAAGAGCTGACAGTTCTCGCTATAATAGTTTAAAAATAGATAATGAAAAGGGAATATGTTGAAAATTTCCGTCAAATTACTTCACTCTGAGCGGAGTTATCGTGGATAAAATTACAGTGTAGCCTTGATTGTTACTGCTACCATTTTTACGATAATAATCAGTGTCTCAATTACCCACTTCTTTACATTAAATCATCAACCACAAATCATATTTAAATCTTTTGAAAATCTAGACTATGGGATGGCATCAAGAGTTAATTGTGGTCTTGGTAAGTTAATTAAGGTCTAATTAAGAATTCATATAATATTTCAGACCTAAAGAAAGACCTGCAATAGGCAGACTTAGCTCTTGCATAATGTCTGTTTAATATTACTAATTTTCTAATAATTTACAAGTGAATCTATGTTAGATTAAATGGACTTTCATTTCTTGTCCACAAAATACATTTGTCACATTGAGACTAACATGCAGTTAATTGTTTCTATGGTCATGTGGAAAATTCCACGGAGTAGAGCATTTCACTCAGACAGCAGTGCCTCCGGTTACAAATCATCAAATTCCAACTAATCAGGTGTTTTTTATGCGTTCACCAATGTGTGCATGAGTGGACATTAGATTTCAGTTCCATTTGAATGACTAGGCAAGAGGCTACCACTTAAAGTCAAATTCGGGTTTTAAATTTATATTTTTATGACTTCATTATCTGGGTTGGTACAGATCACTAGGACATCAAGTACCATTTCATTCATTCATTGTTTATTTTTGGACCCAAACTCAAGACATTATAGTTGAGAGCCCCTTCCTCTACGACTACCGAGCCCCCTACTGATTACAAAATATTGAAAAACTATAAATATATGATGAACTTACTGTTGTAGCTACATCTGGTTTTGGTCCCAACTCTAATAACCTTCTAGCAAATGATGCTGCTGTTTTATAATTTTTTAATTTAAAGAAGAGATTAAGAGCTGTACGTAATGTTAATATCAGATGAACTGGTTGTAGATTACAATGTGTGAAATAGGCTGCCATCTGAAAATATAAACATTTTAACATAAGTATTTAAAGAGTTGTATTCTATAGTGGTCTGCAATCTTACTAAAGATTTGAATGTTTATTCAGAAGATATTTCCAGGTCTTCTGATTAGGGCTATGAAAAAACCCCCAAAACAAGCCGACCGTGTGGCTGTTGTCCCATGCCTAAATCCCAAAAATAATAAATTATTTACTTGAACATTCATCTTTTTATTAAGAATCCAGCAATAAAATCGCTTATTATCCTGCTTAACCTGAGCAGAGAATGCTTGTATTTGATCTTAGTCAAGGTATTTATGTAATGAAACTACAGTAGAATCTGCATTAAGCAGCCACCCAAGGGAATTTTCACAACTGACCGCTTAATGGGAGTGGCCTCTTAATAAAATCTCGTTGCTTTTTGTGCCGACATAAATTAAATATTACGCTTGGATGCATTGGAAGCTGTAAATTTGGCCGTCGCTGAATCTTGCGCCGGACGAAAATTCTTTACTCAAATGTTGGACATAACTTCTGTAAAATTGTCATTTTGTACCAACCTTCGATACTACTGTCTACCATTGTGATGCATTCGATAATATTTATCCATTTTTGTGAAGAAAATCGATGAATTCATTTTATTTTATCAAAAAAGCACATGAACAAAAAACATCGCTAATTTTATCACCTATTTACAGGGGGTGTAACTCTGTATGTAATATTATAGGAGGCGCTAAGAGAGATACTAGATGATCGTGACAAAACTCGGTACTTTTATTTTTTTCAATCAGTATCAAATAATGTGTCGTTACGCGTGAAAACAATGATCAGGTTAGTCGTTTAATAAAACAAAAGATTAATTAACAGATAATCCTGGTTTGATTGTTATGTTTACATTTCTTTTTACCTGATCAGTGGGATCCAGTTAATTAACTACTACTCACGGGATTAGCGGGGGTGTTACAAAGAATGACAAGATGGTATCATTCAACAATGGCCGTTGAATGGGCGATGTTTTGTTGAATTTATTAGTAAAATAGTGACCGCTGGCCGCGTTAGAGGAGTGACTGTTGAATAAAGAGATGAAACAACAGAATTTCTACAGGGGGAATTTATCGTGACCGCTTACAAGGAGATGTCGCTGAATAGGAGTGGCTGCTCATACAGATTCTACTGTATACACCAAGTTTAATCACACTAACTCAATTAGAATCAGAGTTCCAAATTAGAATCATGGTGTTCCAGAAATTGTGACAGACAGACTGAATGAATGGATTTTAATAGTTCCCTGCCTTTTCCAAAAGGGTATAAAAACACTTATATAAATTCACTACTATTCTACTTTAATTCAAATTTTAAGAGATTGATTGATATTATCAACATACCTCACACAATCGTTTCTGATCAGCTAACGTAGCTTTTGGCATTTCTTTTCTTTTATTCTCCATTGATAAACCAACAATATATTCTCTACAGATCTCTATAAGTTGTTGAGCCTGAAATAAACAATGTCACCATCTAGTATCTTCTCATCATCAATCTCAATTTTTTTTTTAAACATACATTATGCAAGAACTAAATATTCCTATTGCAGGTCTTTCTTTAGGCCTGAAATGTTATCTAAATTATTAATTTGACATTAATTAACCTATCCAGACCATAATCAACTCTAGATGGCATCGCTAGCCTACGATCTGTAGTGGATTGTGAGCCGATTTACTGCATAACTTTCCTTCACGATTTAACGATTAAATGGATAATCGACACTATGCTGTTTATCGTACTGACTTTAGTAATGATCATCAAGGCTAGGGGGAAATTCAATCGCTTTGTTCTCGGTTCTAGTGAATCAATTTGAATGAAATTTTCAGTAAATTGCCTTAACATTACCTAGTATTTAACTATTATAGTGAGAACTGCCAACTCGTTATCGAATTTCCCATAATGTATCTTTAATATTTTATTCCTGAACATAATATTAGGGAACAGGTGCAGCCTATGATCTTGATAATACTTGAATGAATATTCCAGGATATAATTTTCCCAGTCATGTAAAACGTGTTGATCTAGTAAACAAGAATTTTTGGTGACATGCCAATCTCGACCAATAATGAAGTCGAAACAAGATTGTCAATTTATTTGCATTAGTTTTATGGACATCAAATTTTGAACAGACTGTAACCCCACCAAACAGACAAACAGATAAAATACCTTCTGCTGTTTAATGAAACAAGCTCTAGATATTTCAGTTTATTTGATTCTCTGCACAAATCAGATAATAAAATTTTAGATACTCACCTCAGCTATTTCTTGTTTATTATCAACAACTAATAAAGGTACACTGAGTAAAATAGATCGGAACTTGTCAACAGCATCAACAAATTTTCCTGATGTTGTTAGTTGATAAGCTGTTTGTAATTGTTGTACTAACATATTTAGCTTTAAACCTACAGATGGTACACCAGCTCTAGCCCCAGCTTCTTTCCTGTAATAAACAACATTCAAATATTTATAAATTAACATCTATGTTAAACAGGCATTATGCAAGAGCTATATCTACCTATTGCAGGTCTTTCTTTAGACCTTAAATGTCATATAAATTAATAATTAGACATTAATTAACTTACCAAGACCATAATCGGATAGTCTAGATTTTCAATAGATTTAGATACGATTTGCGGTTGATGATTTAACGTTAAAATAGATAATCAAGACTTTTTTTTATTGTCGTAACAACGGTAGCAATGATAATAGAGGCTACACTGTAATTGCATCGACTCAAGAGTGAATTAATTTGACTGAAGTTTTCAACATATTCTCTTTTCATTATCTATTTTTTAAACTATTATAGCCAGAACTGTCACAATCTGGTTAAAACACAGATCCTATTTCGTTTCGTTTTTATAGTTCAAAATTTCGTTTTACTTGTCTTTATTACACTTGGATCTGGACGAGTTGTTATTTAACTCGTGTTCTGAATGGTGTCAGGGATAAGCCAATGAAACGGTCTGTCACGGCGAGCTTTAGGCGTGTTTTGCACTGAACTGTTGGTAATCCACTAGTAACATCAATACTGATTGGTTAATGAAATGTCTGACATCATCGGAACATATTCTCTTTTCATTATCTATTTTTTTAACTATTATAGCCAGAACTGTCACAATCTGGTTAAAACACAGATCCTATTTCGTTTTTATAGTTCAAAATTTCGTTTTACTTGTCTTTACTACACTTGGATCTGGAAGAGTCACTGTCATAAGTCGGTCTTTTGACCCCTGACGTGACCTCTCGCTATAACTTGTCAGATCTTCATGTAGTTTAGGCCATCGAAAGTATAAAAAAACGAAACGAAATATTGATCTGTATTTTAATCAGATTGGAACTGTCAGCTCTTTATCTAATCTTACATAATGCCCCTTTAACCTTTAAAAGTAACCAGGATTCAGAGAGAGAGAGAGAGAAATGGGGTTTAACGTCCACTCGACACAAACTAGGTCATTTCGGGACTAACATATGGTTTTTAATTTTATTTACATAATTCGCTTGCGCGTAGGGGTCTTTAGCAGTGGGAGGAAACCGGAGGCCCCGGAGAAAACCCACGAGGTTGGACAGGCGACCCTACTCCTTGCCACGTACAACCGGGGATTCGAAACCACGCCAGTTGACTCAATGACAGACTTTATGATACAGCGCGCACACGCTAACCATTCAGCCATCCACCCCCCCCCCCCCCAGGATTCAGAAATTTCATCTTTGAGATATAAACTCATTTAACAACTAAATTTGTTAAAATTACCTACAAATTTTTTTTGCCTGACAGTGACAAGATTTCTCATTAGAGGAGTATAGCACCTTAAGATATTGAACACATGGGATTCTCCTATATTATCTAACTTAGACAAAATTATAAATTTTTATACCACAAGAACAACTGAGAGTGATATTCATGACAGAGTACTTGTGAAATATTTAAAATGGCCGACCCCGATCGTGCATTAATCATTAGACACACACATAATTCAAATAATAAAAGACAATGTTACTTACCAATTTCTATGTGGATAACCAAAGAATGGCGGTAAGGATGGTAAACCAATATAACTTGTTCTAGATCGACTATATGTGTATAAAAATATCTTCTGATACGGTTCAAAATTCACCATTCCTAGTTGATCATGTAGGAGCTATTGAAGGAAAACAAAACAGAAAATTACTCTGCAATAAGACACATTCAAAGATCTTTATCGTAAAAGAAATTATACAAAGTAGCTGTCTTGATTTGATATTTTGAAATGGTTTTAAGAAATATGACTTACCCTCATAGCAGTTTCAAATGATCCAGCAAGTACATGATCTACAGGTAGTTGAGAATTATTACACCATACCTGGTTACATAAATAAACAATATGGTATATAAACACAACACTAGAATTATACAAATGGCTTATAAAATTCTTATTAAAAAAAGTTCTAAGTGATATTCAGAATCACTTTTTATTTCTCATTTAAAGATACATTATGGGAGATTCGATAACGAGTTGGCGGTTCTCACTATAACAGTTAAACACTAGATAATGTAAAGGCAACTTGCTGAAAATTTCAGTCAAACTGATCCACTATGAACCGAGAAATAAGCGATCGAAAGTTCCACATAGCCTCGGTCATCATTAGTAAAGTCGGTACGACAAAAATCATAGGCTCGATTATCCAGTTAATCGTTAAATCGAGAAAGAAAGTTATGCAGCAAATCGGATCATAATCCAACAATTATCGCAGGCTAGCATTGACATGGTATGGTCTGGATACGTTAATGTCTAATTAATAGTTTATATTCATTAGTAAAGTCGGTACGACAAAAATCATAGGCTCGATTATCCAGTTAATCGTTAAATCGAGAAAGAAAGTTATGCAGCAAATCGGATCATAATCCAACAATTATCGCAGGCTAGCATTGACATGGTATGGTCTGGATACGTTAATGTCTAATTAATAGTTTATATTCATTAGTAAAGTCGGATACGTTAATGTCTAATTAATAGTTTATATTCATTAGTAAAGTCGGTACGACAAAAATCATAGGCTCGATTATCCAGTTAATCGTTAAATCGAGAAAGAAAGTTATGCAGCAAATCGGATCATAATCCAACAATTATCGCAGGCTAGCATTGACATGGTATGGTCTGGATACGTTAATGTCTAATTAATAGTTTATATTCATTAGTAAAGTCGGTACGACAAAAATCATAGGCTCGATTATCCAGTTAATCGTTAAATCGAGAAAGAAAGTTATGCAGCAAATCGGATCATAATCCAACAATTATCGCAGGCTAGCATTGACATGGTATGGTCTGGATACGTTAATGTCTAATTAATAGTTTATATAACATTTCAGGCCTAAAGAAAGACCTACAATAAGCAGATTTAGCATGTTTAATGAAATATAATATAAACATTCTGTTACCTCAGTGTACATTAAAGGAGCTGAACCTCTTCGATTTAGGTGAAATTAAGGTATCAAAATGAGTTGATTGACCTGTTATTTCAATTAATGGTGGGGCAAACACTACACAATTAAAATTTTGTTTTGAGAGATAAAGCAGCTAAAGAACCAGCCATATATATGGCTCAAAATATTGTGGTGTATAACTAACCTGTGCTTGACTGGTACCTTTAGTTGGTGGAACAAAGTAGCCTTCATCACCAGATGATACTGGTCCAACATCCTACAAATAACAATAACCATGTGAAATTCTCATATAAATCAGCATTGTATCATATATTCTAGAAAAAGTTTAAACAAGACATCCAGCAAAATGGATTATTAGTTTGTAAATTGGTCATTTACAATACAATTTTAGTGAGCTTATAAGAAATTTAATTTTCAATGTTTTGTAAAATGGACCTAAGACAAAGCCCTTAGCTAACATGTATTAATATTCATATATTTCTTAAGCAGAAAACAGGGGAACATCAACAATCCTACACGTTGTCACACAATCCTGGATTGGATTCATGTCATATAGATGAAAGACTCATTCTTCTCCAATTATCAAATCATGATACTTACCAGATCAGCTGGAAGTTCAAGATCATCATCACCAACATCCCAACCACCTCCTTCAGCATCACCACCAACCAAAGCCTCATCATCAAATCCTTCTCCTGTTCCAAATCCTCCATCTAAAATATAACCAATAAAATTTAATGTTTATTTCAAAATCACAAAAGATTACGAAACAGAATAGCCCATCAGACTGAATGAGTGCATGTGAATATTATTTTATAAATACTGGGTATGAACACCGTTAGTAAATTAGTAAATTTAGTAAATTGAAGTAAGATCACAGACTTTCTAGGTTCTGTTCTATACAGACTTAATTCAGAGTTGTTATATGTCAAACCATAGAAGAAAAAAACCCTATTGTTTTAGTCTCAAAATGACCAAAGTAACAGATAGATGAATTTGCAAAGAGGACCCTGTAGAAATTTGATCTACAAAAGTTTGATCAACATACCATCATCGAGTACAAGTTCAGCATCATCACCCCAACCTTCACCAGCACCCATATCATCATGTTCAACAGCAGCCATAGCATTAGGTTTACCTAAAGACAAACATTAAAATATATAAACAGGATTCATATTCAAGGCACATAATCTCGGACAAGTCAGAAAAAAATTATCTCATGAACATTGGCGTTAACAGGATTAAATTTTAAAGCCACTGTGTTCATGGTTTAAACGAATGTAATTGAAAACGTGTGAAAATTTATGTTTTCAAAGAGTATCTTCTGAATGGATAGAGTTTTAAAAATTTCGCAACCTGATTAAAAAATGAAATGGGGTTTAACATCCTACTGTTCTGCTCCTAACCTGGGCTTTAGAAGACAGGCATACGCCATCCAGTGTGCTATGAGGGAAATTTTGCCCGGGCAGAATCTGATTAAAATACAGAACTATATTTTGTTTATATTTTTTACATAAAGATCTGAATGGTTGTTGTGGGGTCATACGAGCGGCTTTTAACCGTATGACGTCAGACATGTACCAATCAGCATCAGTGTTTCAAGTGTGTATTCAGAAATATAACTTTTGGTTTGATTTGTTTTCTATTGCTGCGAATGTCTACCCACATTTCCGTGTGCTAGACAATGACAATAAGAACTTGGACTCAACAGGCCATATGATTGGCTGATCCCTCACATCAACCAAGTTATTTAACAACTCTTCCAGATCCTAGTGTAGTGAAGACAAAATAAAAAGTAATTTTGAACTGTAACAAAACGAAACGAAATAGGATCTGTGTTTTAATGAGATTGAAAATTTTGGGAAACATCTGAAATATTGCTACAAAAACATTAGCCTACCTGATCTGGCTGCCATAGCACCTTCAAAGAAACCTTTAGATACAGTTAATAATGGCCAGTTAGTTTCCTGTTGCATGATTGGTGGAGGTGGTTGTTGTAGGGTAGCATGAGGATATAAATCAGGTACTTTATCATTTTCACCAAACCAATCTTTTATTTCTTCAGCTTCTTCATCTAAACCATGTGTTTTAGCTGTCACATAGGCTAATGATTCTAAAAATTTTAGAAATATTATAGACTACATTATATTTTATTATATTTTTATGGCTATCAGATTAGCTATTTACAAATTAATATTTTATTTTAAAGAGGTACGATATCTTTTTGCATTACTTTCATGGTGGTGTTTTATTATAAAATAGTTGGGAGAGTCTATTGTCAGGTTGGTCGGGGAGGTCATTTGCATACTGAAAATACATCGATCAGAACTATGGTATCTGACCCCAACCCTAGCCCTAGTCAAAGAAGGATGCAAACCACAAGAAGCTTGTTTTACAAAACATTCACAAATCAGAAACCATGAACACTGCACCCTAATATCCGATTTGTCAAAATACCCCCCGGAAAAGTCCAGAAATTTCAAACGTACTCAATCAGTCCGATAATATATTTTACCAAAATTGTTAGTCATTCAGTCAATTTATCATTCAGGCAAATTGAACTAAGACAATAATAAACAAATACTATTTATAACTCACTTTGTCCACAGGTTTTAAGAATCTTAACTCTTTCACTGACATCACCAAGTAGTAGAGCAGCCTGGAAATGACCACTTGTGTCTTTACGAATTTCAGCTGGAGGTACAAAGATAGATATCTTTTATAATAAAGTATATTGATCACAGCATATTACATATAGACAGTATTTTATCATAAAGAAATATAGTTTTGGAATTTTGAGTGGTAGTGATTTTACAATCTGAATATTGTAATTTACTATTTGAATGCTATTTAAATATTCAATTCAACTGAAATTATCAACTTTTGGCCCATTTTGAGGATTCAAGAAATCTATTTTTGAATATTAGTTGATTTCGTTGACCCAATACACGACTTTGTGTTCTTTTTTCATTTTGCCTAGAAATTTTAGCATGATCTACGAATCAGATATATTATTCCTTACCTATTTTCATCATTTTTCTCATCTTCTCTAAATTTCCAGTAATAAGATAGAGGAAGGAAAGTTTGTCAAAGTTTTTAGTTCTTTGATAAGCCATTTCAACAATCTGATGATTTCCTTGTAATAGAGCTGCCTCGCCTAATTTCTCCCAACAAGCTTGATCATCTAAAGCTCTGGCTGCTTCTAGGGCAATCTATAGAATTAAGAAATAAGTATTTCAATATAAAATGTCTGGATCCTTCAAACCTAATACTGGATTTGGGTTGAAAAAATTAGGATTATTTTGGTTGTAAAAATTGGGATTATTTTGGTTAAAAAAATTAGGATTATTTTGGTTGTAAAAATTGGGATTATTTTGGTTGGATAAATTGGAATTATTTTGATTAGAAAATTTGGGATGTTTTTGTAATGGATGAAAGTTGGAGAGAGAAAGGGGAAGAGAGAAATCTCTGATAACCCACCTCAATGTTTCCACATTCCAATGCCAGACCAAATCTTGTTTTTTCATCTTTAACAAAATGAAGAGCTACTTCTGGATACCCCTTCTTCTGCAGGTATGATATGATAGACTGTCCTACTAATTTAGCATTTCTTACCATATGGAGTACCTACAATAAACAAACAAATGAATGAAATAGGGTTTGAAAGGAAATGTGGTTTTAACTTCATACTATTTTGCACAAATAGGGGAGAGAGAGAGAAATGGGCTTTAACGTCCACTCAACACAAACTAGGTCATTTCGGGACTAACATATGGTTTAATTTTAATTACATAATTCGCTTGTGCGTAGGGGTCTTTAGCAGTGGGAGGAAACCGGAGGACCCGGAGAAAACCCACGAGGCTGGACAGGCGACCCTACTCCTTGCCACGTACAACCGGGGATTTGAAACCACGCCAGTCGACTCAATGACAGACCTTATGATACAGCGCGCGCGCGCTAACCATTCAGCCATCCAACCCCCCCTGCACAAATAGGGCTAATGAAGACAGGCATAAACCATGCAGTGTGCTTTAAAGGAAATTTTGCTCAGACAGCATAACAATGACTTAATCTTATTTCAATCATATGTGGGACCTCAAATTTCAACTTTTTTTTTACAGGATTTTAACGCAATGTTTGACAGATTGTAGGAATTTATTTAAAATTTATTATAAAGATCATGTACTCACCTCTTCATATTTTCTGTTAACCAGAGCAAGTTTAAATTTAAATTCTGTTGGATCAATACTGAGTACTCGTGGTCGACATTCTCTATCCAGACAATAAACACTGTTACCCTTAATACGAGTTATATAGATGGGTAGATCTAACGTTCGTATTATACCATGATCCCTGAAATAATACAAATAACACTCATTATAAACACTATTACCCTTAATAGGAGTTCTATACATGGGTACATATTATATCAGGATCAATGAAATAATACAACTAACATCAATATACATGATCACAGAAATAACATTATTATAAACATAAATATCACATCAATATACCATGATCACTGAAATAACATTATTATAAACATAAATATCACATCAATATACCATGATCACTGAAATAACATTATTATAAACATAAATATCACATCAATATACCATGATCACTGAAATAACATTATTATAAACATAAATATCACATCAATATACCATGATCACTGAAATAACATTATTATAAACATAAATATCACATCAATATACCATGATCACTGAAATAACATTATTATAAACATAAATATCACAGCAATATAAACACAACCATGACGTTAGTAATTGTCATTTTATGCAAACAAAAGTAAAGTTATCTAACGAGCAAAGTTTGTTATTTTCTTTTTCTTATTCTAAGGGTGCATTGATTGGTAATTTTGATTCACAAATCATTTTTTTTTATTGAATTCGGTAATTGTGATAGAAAATTTGATCTCACTTGTGATAGAAAATTTGATTTCCGTCATATTTATTTCATATCGATTAATGAAAATTGTTTTCGAAACTTATTTTCATTTTATTTTTCATTCTCAAAGAGCGCATGTCGGAACACTTTTGATGGATAAATTGTTTCTCTGAACCCATGTCATTTCCCTGTGTTGATCTTAGAACATATGATTCAAATATCATATATGTGTTGATTACAGCACTTGCGCCTAACAAATCAATTTTTGTGCTGACTCTGCAACATTTGATAGACAAATTGTATGTTACTTGTGTACACATTTTATATTTCGTTCTGTTGATGTCTTGTTGAGTATAATGATACTTGGTCAACTATATCCATGGTTATTTTTTTTTCAAGTATTATTATTTGTACTTACCCATTAGTAAGAGCGTATTTAATATGATTACTGGTTGTATAAACAAATACACCACTTTCATCCCAAGCTCCACTTTTAACACGTATATTCTCATGTATACTACATAAATTATCTAGTTTACGATTACAGATAGAGATAACTGAAAGTATATTAAATTATATCTGATCAAAGATAAATATCAATTAAAATGGGGTTTAAAGTTCACTCAACACAAACTAGGTCATTTCGGGACTAACACATAGTTCAATTTTATTTCAATAATTCGCTTGCACATAGGGGTCTTTAGCAGTGGGAAATGAAAATATAACACAATTTATAGTCTATTAGAACCTAGAAACCATAGAAGCAAGACAAATCGCAAAGAGCTCCTCAAATGTAGGTCATTAATTAAAAATACAACAAATTGTAATGAAACATTTGATGAATAAAAACCAAACAATGGGTCATTAATTAAAAATACAACAAATTGTAATCAAACATTTGATGAATAAAAACCAAACAACATTTGCTATTTTTCTGAAGAACGAAGGCACGATTAAAAAAATACCCAGAAAAACCTACCATGTTTACTATAGAGAGCAACATGTGACATATCATTAGACCAAACAACACATTTTACTTTTGACATCTTCAATGTTGCCAAAGTTCTGAAAAAAAACAAAAATATACTATTATAATGTTTCAAAATAGATGGTTTCAGACTTTAAGTTTAACTGCTAATCGTCATTTTTCAGACTTTATCTGCGTTTTCAAGGCTTAATACATGCTAAATATACTCAAATAGATTACTTAACATTAAGAAAACATTAAGAAAAAGTTTTAACCTACACTTGGCATGTTTATATCATCTTCAGGTGAAATGTTGGAAATCTTCAATTTTTTTATATCTTTGTCAATTCTGAATTAAATTGAATCATTTATGGGCTGAAATTCCTTGTATAAATTCTACTTTCACAAATTTGGAGATTGCAAATGATTCAAAATTCTTCAAATGACAATCATCAGTTTGAAATATAATTTGTTATATTTACCGTTTCTGTTGTACATCAAATAAAGTAACTGCATCGTTCTCTTTTAACAATAAACAACCAGTACCAGCATAAAATATATCTTCACAGTTTGGTGTCTGTACTTTCTTTGTTATCTCATTCTTTAAATTCTTGATAATAATCTGGTATTAAAAAGAGAAAGATTATTATAATAGGAAGATAAGGCCACACAAAATAAATGTCTTGTTTCTCGGGCAACTGACAGCTGAAACTGTAGGGAGGGAGGGCGGTTTCTTTTTTTTTTTTACTCATTGATGGTGCAAAATAAAATTTGGCTATTGCTGAAAATTGTTGGGGCGGGAGGGCGGTCTTTCTTTTTTTTTTTTTTAAATGAGAAAGTCATTACTTGTTTACGTTTTTGCTTTCCGTTATATTCAACTTTATTGTACATACTTAAAACATAAACCCAAAATCAAGTCTACTAAAACACTGAGACTGAACACTGACTGAAAGGAAAATAATTTTCCATATTTAATTCACATAATTGAAATTGGTTTAAAATAAAATTCCATACGACTATGTAATAGCCCTCCATAAAGACAACAATATTTTTAAAAACTAAGCCTCTTTCACCAGGTGTATCAAAAATAATAATCATGGTAAACAGTATTTAAAACTAAATCTAGTATCGCCGGTTTATTTATAATTATTTACCGAATTCCAACCAATGCATGTCACACCGTGTCATCGGTATTGGAGATTGCCGGAAATACTGTTTCTTGGGATATTCGGTGTGTTTCTCAGGATATTCGGTGTTCTATCCGGTGTTTATATTGAATGACTATTTAAATCTAACTAACAACTGGTCAGTAAAACCATCAAATCGGTAATCCAATTATTATTTTCCGGATTATCGAAACTACCGTAAATGTGCTAATAATGACCCAGATTCTAAGGTATGCATTATGACGACTATCGTCATCGTATCGTATTCTTAGCTATAATTAATTAACCTGTTCTACGGTTCATTATTTTATCAATAGGATTTTCCAAACAAGGACCGACTGAAGCCGGCAATAATGAGCCGATTACGATCGAATGATTGAAATATTGTCGCCAATGACTTTTAACAGGAATCAAATTCTAGTTTTTCAGGGGAGGTAATTAATATCACGTGATACAAAATGGAGGTTCTTTCGATATCAATAAAAAAGGCAAATCTGCCAAACTTCGCCATTGTTCGGATAAAAAAGACAGCATGTTCATCTGAATCAGTTTTAATACATTTGAATAGATATACATGTATGGCGGATGTAGGTACATGCGGGATATTTTTTTTACGACTTGCTTGTCGATGTGCGGGCGGGCGTTACATATTTATTTTTTTTCATCAAGACTAATAAATAGACTGCACGCGCAACCAATTTTGCGTGCGGGCGGTGCCCGAGAAACAAGTTATTTTATTTGTGTTGCCTAATATAATACACTAATATTGCAAACAAAATTTTGATAATTACTAAGACATTATTCTTAAATTGACTAGATGTCTGATTTAAATTCCTGATTATTAAGACTGATATGGTTAAACTGGAAGTTTGATTTAAAAAAAAGAGAGAGAGAACTGGGGTTTAACGTCCACTTTGCTCAAACTACGTCATTTTGGGCCTAACATGTTTCAATAATTTGCTTGCACATATAGGGATCTTTTGCAGTGGGGAGAATCTGAGTACACAGAGAAAAGACAACCCAACTCTTGTAATGTACAAACGGGGAAACGAAACTACTCCACCTGACTCAATGACAGACCTTATGATCTAAAGTGCGTGTCTTCGACCATTCTGCCCCCCCCCCCCCCCCGATATGTATATGACACGTACCGAATGTGTTCTGTCCAATACAGCAAATCTATTTCTAGCCACCCATACAGCTGTTAATCCAGATGACCTTTTACCTTCGGGAGCTGAAATAAATATAGATTAATTGTCATATATTATGACTATTTTCTATCATTCCATCAATTGCAAAATCATTTTGATCAAATTCCCTTTTGTTTACAGATAATTTTCTGAATCAATTTCATAAATTGTATCTTCACCAAAAGGTTGAATTCTATGTATTTTTGAAGTTTTTGAACTAGTCACGAGTATTCAATTACCTCCTCTTAGCAGTTCTTTTCAAACGATGATTAAGAGGTTACATAAAATGAAAGTAGAAAATAAAAAATTAAAAGTGTAAAAGGGATGTATTTGGTGAATCCAAAGAAAAATAGAGAATGAGGAATCCAAAACCATATGGGATCTAAATCATAATAAACTTGATACAGTGACACCAGTAAGAGTAGTGGTTAAAAACAAAGTTAAGGATTATCAAATGGATTATGAAACATGTCATTCAAGTCTGAAGGATAATTGCTAAGAGGTTAGTTTGGATTAGATTAGCATTTCGAAGATCTGGACACACAAAGAGGTTGTCAATTGTGTTATTATTTGGGTCAATGTAAGCAGAACTTTTGGTGATTATTCAGCAACTGTTAACATTATTATGAAATTGGATCTCACTGGGCAACTATCTCCCCCACGGCATTCGCTAGGCCTGAACACACTGTACCATTATTTATCCGAGTTCTTGAAAGAAATATCAATCTAAAATCTTTCCAATACCACCAAGCCCATAAGCTAATTTTCTCCCTTTTAAATAGCTATCACATAAAAATGTGGGATTTATTTTGGTTAAACAGAACAAAATAATTATTTTTTATAAAAAAAATCAGAAAGTTTACTAACCATCAGGATTAGAAGAATCTGAATCTTTAGGTATAACATATAAATCATATGTACTGTTCTCTATTGTACTGGATCTCTGTAATATAAGTTATATTATTACGGTCTTGTGTTTTTTAATCAAATGATATCTTGAGAGGAACTCAATTGCCAGGCCAGAATATACCAGAATTGATGCAATTGAAATGTGTAACACGGAAGCAAGTCCTTTCACAGTTCTACCCGTCCCAAAATTAGCTGTGGTGTGAACAGATTCGTGAAATAATCAAACATTTCAGCTGATTGAGATAGTATTTCATACCGATGACGCATGCAATGACGATAAAATTCAACTTTATCACACGAACAATGACTAGGGTCAGCCAATTCAGGCATTATTCAAAATGTTAATAAGAGCGAGAGAAATGGGATTTAACGTCCACTCGTTCAAGATTAGGTCATTATGATAATTTGCTAGCAGTGGGAGGAGATCGGAGAAAACCCATGAGGTTGGGCAGGCGTTCCCAATCCTGGTTACATACAGACAGGGAATCGAAACCATGACAGACCTTATGATTTCAAGCGCACCACTAGACCACCCAACCCCCCAAAATGTTAAAACTTCTGTTAATTCTAATGCTAAAAATTCAACCAATTTAATGAAAGTAAAACAATGCATCTCATATTAGTTTCAATATGGATTCATATGGAGCTTTTACAGTTTTACAGTATTATATATAGAACTTACAGTACAAAGAAGTACAGCATTTTCAGCAGGATTATATGACATACTGTTGACAGGACTTCTTGAACCACTATAAAAACCAAAAAAAACAAATTTATAGTCAACATGTATTTCAAACATAATGTGTGGTTTTCAGAGATACACTTGAAAATTTTGCCAGTTAACTTTTCACAGATAAAAAGATATTTTTTTATGTCAAGAATATGTTCATTTTATCTCACCTTATAAACCAATTTCTATACACATAAAAACTACAAATTGAGCCTATTTATTGCTCTTTAAGGTTAATGGAATGTAAATTGATCAACAGTTAAGAGGTCAAATAGGTTGTCATTCAGTCTTAAACAGGCAAATATAAAAAAAACAAGAGCCCTGGTAGAGAATTATCTTCAAACAATTTAATCTGTTCCTTTTTGTTTTTTTTACATTGAGGACATTTCAACTTGTGAAAGCCAGAAAATGCTAAAACATTATCTTTTTATTTTGATCCGTTACTATTACTGCCTTTATATAGAAATCTCTCAGTTTCAAGTTACCTTCTCAATTGCATGACTGGGGCATCTTTAGATGTATTGAAGTCTAATCTACGTAGATATCTTTCTTTAACATAATACAGTATATTATTATATACAGTACTAGCTGGTCTCTCTTTCTCTAGTTTAAATATTATCATACCATTATCATGACCTGTAATACAATTTACATACAAAATATTATCATAAAATTATTACAATCTGTAATACAATTTATGTACAATTTACTAAATTATCTAAGCACAGAAGCAGATTTGAATGATGTAACAAGAGCTTAAAATTTTTAAATTAAGAGTCTTGTTCCTGGTACATATTTCTGACATATTAAATTCTATCTCTTAACAATGAAACAGTTCACAGGTGGTCCATTTTAACTCAAAAATCAAAACATTCTTGTTTCAAAACCCTGATCTGTAAATAATCAGTGAATATAACCAACAGCGCCTTAAAAACTGTACTTCAGTATTAACACGCTTCATAAATGACAATATTATTATTATTATTCTATTAATCAATGTTATTTCAACTATAAATTCTCAATAATACTTCTAACAATCACTTTAAACTCTAGGAATGAAAGTTGTATGAACAATCAAATATGTGTTATATAAAGTTTACCTGCAGCAAATAAATTTAAGGTTGGATGAGCAGCCATAACCCAGAATCTGTCATGTTCACGTCGGAATGTCTGTACACCAGTTCTGTAAGCCAAATTAATACGTTATAACATTTTTCAGTGTGAATGTTCAACAGCAGTGTATGGGACAGAGAGAGAAATGGGGTTTAACGTCCACTCGACACAAACTGACATATGGTCCAATTATATTTCAATAATTCGTTTTGAGCATATGGGTCTTTAGCAATGAGAGGAAAGCGGAGGACCCAGAGAAAGCCCACGAGATTGGCCAAACAACCCTACTCCCTGTCACGTTCAAGCGAGGGAATCGAAACCATGCCACTTGACTCTATGACAGACCATCCATCACCCCAGCAGTGTATGGAGATATGCCTATATTAAGCAGATCTGACCAATGAAAAGATACAGTTTTTGTTATTCGAGAATCCTAATTTATAGTATCTTATATGTACGTCATGATTTAGTGAGGTTAACCTACCTTTTACTCATATCCCACACTCTAATACTTTTATCTTCCGAGTTACTGAGTATAAGATCTTGTCTGGGGTGGAATAAACAGCATGATACATTGTTATAATGTCCTCTACATGTATCCACTTCCCAGGCTTTAGATTCTGTAATGGGAAATAAAATAAGTAAGTATGCCAATAACAAACAATATACTATTTATTAGTTAAACATACATTATGCAAGAGTTAAATCTGCCTATTGCAGGTCTTTCTTTAGTCCTGAAATGTTATCTAAATTATTAATTAGACCATAATCAACTCTCGATGTCATCGCTAGCCTGCGATGTTTATTGGTTTAGGTTCCGATTTGCTGTTCGACTTCCATTCATGATTTTATCATGAAATGGATAAAGGCGACTATGTTTTTTATTGTACCGACTTCAGTAATGATGATCGAGGCTAGGCCGAAAATTCAATCGCTAAAATCTTGGTTTAGAGTGGATCAATTTGACTGAAATTTTCAGCAAATTCCTTTTACATTATCTAGTTTTTAACTATTATAGTGAGAACTGCCAGCTCTTTATCTAATCTCCCATAATGTGTCTTTAATGAGTTAGTATTCGCTCAACAGAATATCTGTCATCAGAATATCTAGTGCTGAAGGAATATAACAGAATATCTATTATTGTGTCGATCTATGTCTTACCATTCATTCTCCACAGTTTAATCTGTCTATCATCAGCACCTGATACTATTAATGGTAGGGTAGGATGGAAGGCAGCCCAATTAACACCTCTATCATGACCCTCTAATACATGTTTAACTATAGCATCAGATGTTCCAAATAAATCTGTTTGTCCTGAAGCACGTAATCTCTCATCTAGTCCTCCAGGTCCTGGGGCAACATTCTTCTTTCTTAATCCTATAATAAACAACACAAAATAATTATCAAGGTCATTTTGAAAATATTCTTCTTTATAAGAGGCATTCAGTAATGAGTGTTACTGGTCTTCTCCAGATCAACCTACTAATCGAAACCAGTGATAGACACAGATCCAACGTGTCACACAGACTGGACACATAAAACGACAATCAAATAAAATAAGTTAAACGCCATCCAGTATGTATTTCGATAATTTCAATGGTGACGTTTGTACAGCCAGCACAGTAAAACTGGATGTCAGGTGATGGAGGGTTCTTATTGTAAAGTTCTATGTTCCTGTTCTACATTGTAAAGCAGCCGACCAAGTAGAAGCCGTGTCAAGATATTCTTTCAAGACTATAGAAAGCATCAAATATGATGGTAAGATGTGGATATCATTCGAGTGACAATATATTACCTGATATATCCCAGACTCTGACTGTCTGATCTAAAGATGCTGATACAACTAAATCTTCTGACTGATGAAACATGGCACACATAACATAATGACTATGTCCTGTTAATACACTGCAAATATAAATTAAAAAACAAAATAACTTTCAATTATTCGGATCATATTTATTTCCAAAATAATAGGAATATGTAAACATATTCTTGAAACAATGACCTTGAGTTTTACAACATCTAGCCATTTCTAGATTAGTTCTGAAATTCCTGTACATCATCTCCCTTTACAGCAGACACATGTGCAATAACGTTGTCCAATCAGATATGAATAGATACGCTTACAACCATTGAAAGCTTTCTTTTTTTCTAGTTGAAAAACACACAGAAAACCAAAGAAAAGCAAACTTACTAGCACAATGGAGGAACAGAAAAGTAAATTAAAAAGATTTGGACTAAGATGTGAAGTGGTTCACAGCTGAGGTTCAAGAGGAAAAGTTCCAGCAACTTTGACATCGAACGAACCTTGAATTTTACAACTCCATTACATTTCAGTTGAAAAGTGCAAGACTTGGTATTCGCAATGTTGTTTTTTTATGACGAAAAATGTGGATAATTCCGTGAAGGCCTTGATAAGATGTACAGAGTTGAAGTGAGATCAAGCCTTTTATTGTAATACAATGTACCAAACCTATTAAAGACTCACTTATAGTTTGAATAATATTGCCAGGACAATTAATTCATTTTTCACAAATTTGATAATCAGTGAGAAAATATTATTACCTTATACAGTTTCTGGACTGCCAATTCCAAATTCTGAGAGTCTGATCATCAGATGAACTCAAAATCCATGGATATTCCTGCAAATACATAGATATTATTTTAACATATCTTTGGGTTTTTTTTTTTAGCAAACCCACTAATTCATCAACCATATGAAATTAGTGTGCGTACACACCAGATCTGCAACATGAGAAGGACATTAATGTGCGCAAAAATTTCAGGCCATTTAAAAAATATTCCGTTTCTGAGAAACTGCTGCGAGCTTAAACAGGGACGCGCGCCATTTTATATTTTCCAATACAGTTTTATTGGATATGAGGGATCAGATCAGCTGTGCCAAAATTATCTTGAAACAATTTCAAGTTTATATTTGTACAAATATCTTGTGCAAACAATATTTTCACAGGAAGAAAATCTTCATGCCATAAGATGTTTACACAGACTGAGTACTAAAAATCATAGGGAACATTGTGTTAAACTCAATATAATCACACTCATTGAACAAGCTTTATTAACAAAACAAACTGCATGCACAACTAGGTATATAGATATAAATTCCATACAGGTAAATAAACAGTAAACAAAGTTATATGGAGGAAAACAATAAAACTACTTACATGATGGAAAACTGTAGTTCTGATATAATCTAAATGACCCAATAAGGTAAATAAACATCGTCTCTGTTTGTAGTTCCATACCTAAGGAAACATGACAAAATAATATAATAAATACAACATTCAAATTTCTGATAATGTATCAATTTAATATTTCAGATTGCAAGGGAGGAACAGAAATCAAAAGTTACCACACAAACAAGAACATTTTTTCTGACCTTAGCCATGGCTCTTATGAAAATAAAACTATTCAAATCAACATCAATTTAGTTTTTAATAAATCGCTTAACTAATGTCAGATTTATAGATCAAAGTAGACTCCAACCTTGATTCCAAAATGACATGGCTCATACAAAAGATTTTGGTTCTCAAAGTCAAATTTTTATTGATTTTTCTTACTTTTATTTTGTAATCATCTCCTCCTGATACAAATAATGGTTGTTGTTGATGAAAACATATTCCTCGAACTGGACCTGTAAGAAAGATATCTATCTATACTATCGATTATTAACAAAATGAAATGGGGTCTAACTTTCTACTGTTCTGCACCAATGGGACTAATGAAGACGGGCATAGGAATACGTCATACAGTATGTTATGGAGGAAATTTTGTCCGGACAGTGGCAATACTGTCAACTCTTATATCAAATTCCAACTGTCAAAGGTTATTTTACGTTTATGCCAATCAGACAACGGGACTTTGGTTTGTCGTTATATCCTAACAGCTATACATTGTCCCATGCTCGACCCTCCATCCTGCACCACTGACAAAAATCACGCCGGAAAATCCAGAAAAAAATAACAGAGGAATTTTATTCCTTATTTCTGCATACTATGCCACTACTGCTAAATTTTACACACAATACTTTAAAGTTACAATTTCATATTTTTAAGTTATATTTTTAAAATGTATTAAAATAAAGCCCTAAAATAGATGGTATCTATAAAAAGTCCTACCTTGTTAAAGAATAATCCTATTAATCCTATAATTCACTATTATATTGCCAGTTGAGAAATTGGCAAAAATATCATTTTCAACTTCAAATTAAAACGTTTGAAGATAGCTATTCCATGGTGGGGAATAGGAAAACAAGGGAGGTAATTGGGAGGTAATTGTGTTATTATTTCCGGTGTGAAGATTTTTAAGTGTGAGAAAGATAACCTATGATCGTATAATAGTGAGTTGACAACCTATTGAGCAAAAGACATAGAAATAATTATGTTTTGACTTTCTCAGAAAATATGAAATTGTAACTTTAAGAATTGTCTGGTCAATGATATTACACATGGCTCAAGCTTGACATACTTACCATCATGTTCATCAAATTTATCAATCAATGTACACATACGATAATCCCAAAGCTGTATAAGACCATTGTGTAAACTGGCAAGTACCCAAGGACGTTTTGGATGAAAGGATAAACCTGAAATAAATAAGTTGTTATAAATATACTATATTATAACATCCAATGAATTCAAATAATATTGGTTCAGAATCAGTCCACCAATCTTTTTCTAACCCTTGTTCCCTATGAAGATGTGACGGTGAAGTCAGACATTATGATTCTAGCATAAATTATAAATAATAACACAAATCTGGCAATCATATTCCAGGTATATTTATGTGAAATGAAATGAAATGGGGTTTAACGTCTTACTGTTCTGCTCGTACTACTCTTATATCGAATTACAACTGTCAAGGTATCTTTTACGTGCACGCCTGTGTGTACAGGGGACCTCAGTTTTCCGTTCCATCCGAACGACTAGACAGCTGTCCTTGTCAGGCTCTCCGTAACGCATCACTGACAAGGGAGAACCACGCCGGAAATCTGGATGAACTTTCTTGGCCAATGCAGTGATCAAACACCCGACCTCCAGGCTAGCGAGCCAGCGTCTAATAATTGGGTAGGGGAGAGGCAAGTTTAAAGTAAGGTATTGGGTGACGTGGAAGGTAGAACATCGAAATTTCTGTAACCGACCATAAATAAGCAAGTTGACTCAATCTTTAACTCTGATGTTTTGTGTGCTTTTTTTTCATGTCAATTTGTCATGTCTGATTTTGAACAGCTTGTTGTCCTCATTTTTTCTGATGATAGTATACATGCCGTAACCTTTGCTAGCCTAAAGTCTGCATTTGAAAATTGCTACCAAACTAACAAATAAATCAACCCCAAAAACATTTTCAAAGAGCCCAGCCGAAACTGTTTGTTTTGGAATTGGATCGAAAATTGTGAATGCATTATGATAACCTATTATTAGGGCCTACCATAAGTACCATTCCTGAATTCTTACCTTTCACCCTGGCCGACTTAGTCTCAAATTTTGTCAGCATGTTTTTCTAGAACAAGAGCTAGAATTTGTTGAGATTTAAGGAAATCAATCCCCCAGCAATTCAATAAATATTCAGTAAACTCAGAACAATATTTTTCAACGTGGAAGTTGCTGTACTTCCGGAACACGTCAAAAGCTTAGTCAATCGGATAACATCGTTTGCTTTCTTAGATAAATTACCTCGGTGTTGCGAGTGGTGAACCATTTAATGCAGAATAAATATATTTTCATTCTTTTTTTTATATTTTTTCTCTTTGATAAGGTAAGTAAATTTATGTACATCAAATGGTCTTTATATAACTAATTTTCGGGCCCTACTATATACCGGAAAACACCGTAAAACAACCGGAAAACACCGGGAAACAACCGGAAAACATCATTTTATACTGAATACCGGAAAAACACTAAATACCGGAAAACATCCTAAATACCGGAAAACACCCTAAATAGGTAACCCGGAGCCTGGTCCTCTGTGTGCGGTTTTGGACCAAGTGAGCGCCGATGAAGGAAGGTCAAGGTCATCACGATGTTCGTTTTACAAATAGCCCCACCCCCCCCAAAAAAAAATTCCGATTTTTTTTGTTCTCCAAAATTTTGTTGATGCCTATTATGTTTTGAATGTTTTCAAAGACGCAATCAGTCTACCTCCATCATTGACCATATTTTATTTTGTATTTCAATTTTAGTTTTCAGTAAATTTCAGTAGATTTCAGTGTTTCAGTATTTCAGTAGATTAAACCATGATAATTTTATTATTATTATTATTATTATTACAGCATATTTATAGTGCACCCTTTCATATAACATGTTCAGGGGCACTTTACAAAGTGACAATGTAAATCACACATAAACAACAAGATTATGGGCATGTTAACGATTGTATACAGAGTCAGTTAAAAGCCTGATTAAATAAATGTGTTTTAAGTTGTTTTTTTAAAAGAATACAGAGATGTACAACATCTTAAAATAAATTGTAGATTATTCCATAAAACAGGTGCTTGATAACTAAAAGAGCGCTGACCATAGGAGACTAGTTGAACAGTTTTGGGCTTTAAAAGTAGTTTATCTGATGTACGTAATGTTCGGCCAGGTGTATAAAGTTCTAAAAGATCTGAGAGGTAAACAGGAGCTAAATTATTTAAACATTTAAAAGTAAGTAATAAAATTTTAAAATCAATTCGATATTTAACAGGTAACCAGTGTAAATTATATAAAACAAGAGTTATGTGGTCACATTTCTTAGTTAAAGTAACAAGTCTAGCCGCAGTATTCTGTACTTTTTGTAATTTATCTATAAGCTTTAAAGGTAAACCAACTAAAGTGAATTAAAGTTATCTAATCGAGAAGTGACCAGAGAATTAACAAGTGACTTAGTGGCCTCTACAGTTACACATTTACGTATTTTACCTATTTTTCTAATATTAAAATAGCACAATTTACAAATATTATTTACTTGAGCTCCCATAAGCATAAAACTATCAAAGATAGCGCCAATATTACGAGCAGAATAAGATGAAAATATATCACAATTATAATAATATTCAACATATTCCATCATATTCCGAGGGCCGCACACAGGATTTTTTTTTTTTTCTGGATTACTTTTCGAGCTTTTTTCCCCAACTTGTTGACCAGTTTTCCTTGAGAAAACCCCAACTTTCGCCTAATTGTCCATGAGAAAACTACATATTCTATCTTACTGCATTGACGGGAAGTGTGGGAGCCACGGTGGCTAGGTGGGTAAGGCGCTGGCTCGCTAGCCTGGAGGTCGGGTGTTCGATCCCTGCATTGGCCGAGAAAGTTCATCCCGATTTTCCGACGTGGTTTCCCCTTGTCGGTGATGCAGGACGGAGGGCCTGACAAGGACAGCTGTCTAGTCCTTGGGATGAGACGAAAAACCGAGGTCCCGTGTAAACATTGGAATGCACGTAAAAGATCCCTTGGCAGTTGGAATTCGATATAAGAGTAGGCGATAATGCCGCTGCCCGGGCAAAAAAATGTCCCTCATAGCACACTGTATGGCGTATGCGCGTCTTCATTAGCCCAGTATAGGAGCAGAACAGTAGGACGTTAAACCCCATTTCATTTCATTTCATTTTGACGGGAAGTGGTAAGCTGGACGTCTGTGAAAAGGGTTGATCGATACATTTTCAAGGAAGCAATTGTTGTTTTTGTTTGTGAAATAGAGGACTCTAGCCGATGAGGCTACTTCCCCCCCCCCCCCTCCGAGAACCTCAGGCAACCAATTTGTTTTATGTACTACTATCGTAATAAAACATTACTATGTTAACCACTTCCTGGTGGCTGAAGACTTACACCGAATGCGTATTCGGAAAAAAATGTCCCCGAGAAAATGTTTTTTCAAACAATCGATATTCGAGATGTCTTCTGTTGCACAAATTATGCTGCACTGTGTAAGAACTTGCATCCTTTTATCTGAAGATTGTAGATGGAAAAGTATCATTTGTACTATTTCAAAGTAAACTTGCATTTTCGTATATCATCCCGTAATTTGTGATTAATGACAATGACTGTGGAAATAATATGGATTGAGGAACGGAAGATCTATGTTCGTCACGTGACTGGACAATTCCACCACCGTCCCACCCTGACGATGATCCCTCCCGGAGCGGCGCGGCGCGGCGCGCTCTCTAAAAAAATCTCGGGCAAAGTTTATCTTCTAAGTTTTCCGGTAGCGATTTAGAAACCCGGAGTTTGGTCCTTGTGTGTGGTTTTGGACCAGGTGAGCGCTGATGAAATAAGTTCATTAACATACAAGCGAGCGATCGCCCACGGTCAAAGAAAAATTTCTTTTCAGATTTTTTTTAACAATTTCTTCTCCCAAATTTCTCTCAAAAAAAAAATTCAAATTTTTTTTCCAGTATTTTTCTCTGTAAAATTATTTTCTACGGAATGTTTTTTTGTAAAACCAATTTTTCGGAAAAATTCGAATTTTTTTTTGTGACAGAAAATTTTTTCGGCCAAAAAATTTTGGAGAAAAAAAAATCGGAATTTGTTTTGGGGGGTGGGGGGGGGGCATTTGTAAAACGAACATCGTAATGACCTTGACCTTCCTTCATCGGCGCTCACTTGGTCCAAAATCGCACACAGAGGACCAGGCTCCGGGTTACCTATTTAGGGTGTTTTCCGGTATTTAGGGTGTTTTCCGGTATTTAGGGTGTTTTCCGGTATTCAGTATAAAATGCTGTTTTCCGGTTGTTTTCCGGTGTTTTCCGGTATATAGTATTGCCGCTAATTTTCCTACTAATATTATGTTTAAAATATAGGAATACATGGCGATCAAATACTGTAAAAAATACATTCGATTTTACGAATACAATTTTCTTCGAACGTCAATGCGGGCCCTAAGATGCCACAAGAAGGGTTCAATTTTTCGTCAATCTTCAACATTCGGCCCAACAAGCAAAAAGTTTTCCCGAGGACAACCGCAGAGGGATTTCTCTTTCTGGATCATGTTACTATTTTTAAACCATAGATGGCGCTGAGAAACACGAGCGATCACTCGGTCCGGACCAGAAAATGTGACATGACAGAGGAATTAGCAATGTTCTTTAATTAACCCCTGTCGTTGATCTTTTTATTGTTTTACATCTTCAGTAATCTAAAGTCTAAATGACCTAAACACCATCAAATATGTACGGTAAGTAGAGATCTCCAGAACCAAACAATATTTAGAAACACGAAGCCCTTCTTCATAATCAGGATTATTCTTCCATCAGCATTGTGTTTATCCCCGACACGGGTGGATGGTTATTTTTTATGAACTGATAATAGACAATGCCAATAATAGCATTTCTCATATAATCTGTTTATTGTTTTATAATATGACTGTATTAATGATTATGACCTATGTTATTAGAATATGAAATAATAATTTGTACTAATGAAGGTTATACATTGTAGGAGTTGTGAGTTATTACAATAATGTACATGAAATGTATATAATAACATATTCTTTCCAAAATATATTACTTCTGTGTTTTTATATGAGGTTTACTGGTCATATTACAGAGACATTATGGCTTTAAACAGGAAAATTAATATCCTTATATGACATTTAGAAACAAAGGTACAACATTAATAAATAAAAACACAACTTTATGGAATACAGATACTTTATTTTATGATCAGTAGTGGAATACCGCGTTTTATCAGTGAAATAAAAGTGTTATTCCACTGGCTAGTTGTTTTTACCTAAAATGATTGTAAAATCATAAAATAAATAGAACATTTGTCGTTTTGTCGTGAATAACATATTTTATTTCATCTCTAAGCAAGAAAACGTTTATATTTTCACTCATGCTACGCATTCATTAAAATATAAGTTTTCTTGCTTCTCGATGAAATAAAATATGTTATTCACTCTAAAACGACAAATATCCTCTATATCATACTGGTACCTGTAAGAGTATTGAAAGTAGTAAATACATAAAGTTGTGGCTTTTGTTTTAATAATGCATGTGCCTTTAAGTTTATATGAAATTATTTTTAGAATGACTTTATTAGTCAGTTTATATATTTATTGAAAAATGCAAGCCTAGAGATATTCTTGATCATTGCTTCCGATTGTGGCCGATTTTTGTTATCTAACATCTGTATCTGGCAGTCCCTTCACTTCAAATGTTGCAAGCAATCTAACATGAACTTGTCCGTTCTAATTGTACAGTCATATCTTGTAAAATAAAAGTCTAAGATGTCCTGTGTCATAAGAGGAGTATATATGTTGATTTACAAGTCTACCCAAGTGACTTGCATTTGTCAACGCATCTAACAACTTAAACTGGATGACATCTATGGTCACATGATATGACATCACCTAATCAGAATAATAACAGATACATGTACATGTAGTACTTAAATTAAAAGCAGTACATGGTTTCCTCCCACTGCTAAAAAACCCTACGTGCAAGTGAATTATGTAAATAAAATTAAACCATATGTTAGTCCCGAAATGACCTAGTTTGTGTCGAGTGGACGTTAAACCCCATTTCTCTCTCTCTCTCTCTTATAGTAATGTATTTGTATTATAAGGTTCACGGTCCAGCACAGAGTTGGACAAATTCTCAGTGAAACAAGTGATTATAGTCTTTGAAATCAGGGAGCCGCGGCGGTTCACTTAGTAAGATGCTGGCTAACAAAACCAGAAGGTTTCGGTCCATGGTTTCCCCTGTCAGAGATGCAGCACAAAGGGCCTGAAATGGAACAGAGTCTAGTCATTTGAATGGGGCAAAATAACAAGGTTCTAGGTGACACAACCATCTTAAACAACATGGGGTCAAAGGGGTTCGATTTCAAAGAAAATGAAATTTAATGTCCCACTTTTCTGCACAGACTTGACTATTAAATGAAGACAGGTATATGCCATGCACTACTTTATGCAAGAAATTTTGCTCTCACAACAGTGCTAAGGCTTACTATTATTTTGAACTCCAACTGAAAAGGGTTCTTTTTATGTACACACCAATCAGTCTAAATTCAGGAGATTTTTACCTTAACGGTAATTGTTTTGATGAATTGAATCTAGGGCAGGGGTATCAAACATGCGGCCCGCGGGCCAGATCAGGCCCACCAAGGGTTTAAATGTGGCCTGTGAAACAAATTTCAACAGACTGACTTCTGTCAATAATTACTAGAAACTAGCGGTGGAAATCATTTATTATTGTCCTGTTTCAGTAAATCTGTACTGTATGTCATAGATATCTTAAGTTGTATGTAATACAAGAGAACATTGTGTTCAATATTATATCTTAGCAATTTGGAAATCAGTCTAAAAAAATTTCTTTGTCTTGATATTTTGTATGTCTCCGGCTCACTTGATGTAAAATTTTAGTTCATGTGGCCCCTGAATGAAATGGGTTTGACACCCCTGATCTTGAGCGTGGCTTTTTAAGTTTATTTTTAATTACATTGTATTGCATATGGGTTCAAATGGGTGTCAATCAAGTGTAATTAAATGATTGAAACCATGTGATATCTACTACAAACAGGGTATAGAAACTCTTGTGAAGTTGAAACGTGACTGTTCATTATTACCTCAGGCAGACCTTTATGTAATATAATTTAACTTTATGTAATATAACTTTATATGTCATATTAGTTTACTTATTGGTAGGAGCCGGTTTACATTTACAATATTCAACTATTATTCAGATTACATGTTCCAGATGTGTCATTATTTACATATCATTTGCGTAACATGTGAAGTCATCTCTAGGTTACAAATTGTGGTGTGTTATAAAAGCCTACACTGCCTTATACACAACACACATCAGCTATGCTGTATATACTATTAATAGACTTATTTTAACTTTTTGTGTGTGTAATAATCAGTAATGAATAGGGGATACCCCTAGACATAAAGGGGTAACACATATGCATGTAAAGCAGGGGTGGGGTATGGGTGTAGCTTTAAACCTGTTCCTCGGACGAAAAAGCGAAGACCCATATACACATTGGCGTGCACGTAAAATATCCCTTCACTGTTGGAATTCAATATAAGAGTAGGCCGTGGTGCCGCTGTCCGGTTAAAATTTTCCTCATAGCACACTGTGTGGCGTATGCCCGTCTTCATTAGCCCAGTTCTGAGCAAAACAGTAGGACGTTCAACCCCATTTCATTTCATTTCATTTCATTTCACCTCTTGAGCCCCCGTGGCTCCAATTACATGAGATGACAAATAATTAACAAATTACAGAGAGATTATAAAATAAATTTAAAGCAGGGGTGGGGTATGGGTGTAGCTTTAGGCCTGTTCCTCGCACGAAAAAGCGAGGTCCCGTGTACACTTTGGCGTGCACGTAAAAGATCCCTTGACAGTTGGAATTCAATATAAGTGTAGGCCGTAGTGCCGCTGACTGGGCAAAATTTTCATCATAGCACACTGTGTGACGTATGCCCGTCTTCATTAGCCCAGTTCGGGGCAAAACAGTAGGACGTTAAACCCCATTTCATTTCATTTCCTTTTCAAATGTACAATAAACCTACATATATAATTCAAACCATTGCTATATGTAGTTCCACAAATTGACCCATTGTACCAGTTTTATTTAATCATATTTTAATACATCTTAGTACATGGACAGCTTCATCTTGATAATTGCAGTAGGTTTATCTTCTTGTTCATGTTGTTCCCCCGAAGTGAAATGAAATGGGGTTTATCATCTTACTTATCTGCTGCATCTTTTGAGGAAGTACATTGTAACATTAATTTATTACTGGTATATATGGCATATTAAGTATATGTTATGGGTACAACTTATGCATTATTTCCCTATCTACAAAATGGACATTATTCTGTTGCATCCGTATATGAAGGCAGATCCAATGCACATTTTCTGACATTTATATTGACATTCCTCATCTACTATATAATGAAAATTTCAATGAAAAAAGGGAAAATATATTGTTGTTTTTTCATTTAGTTACCTTTATTTTTAACCCTTTGACTAAATTATCCCATAAAATTTGACAAGACAGGAAATTAAATCTAAAAGCACTACGATCCAGATGTTAGTTTTAGACTAGTTCTGGTATTCACATTAATTGGTCATGATGAACTTAAACTGACACATAAATTATATTGTTTACGCTCTCACTAACTCGTACACTGTAATTCTAATGACTGTTTAATATTCAATGAGACTGTAATTGGCGGAAGTATATTATTAATTCTAATCAGCCGATATACTTGACTACAGGCAATTAAATATTATTATAGAGCTATTCGTATAGGAGAGTAAGTACTGTTTGGAAGTGCAAGCCTAATACATGTAGACCATAACCAAATTATAAAATACATACTCCTCTTTAATAGTAAAGTGACATGAACATTCTTGTAATGGCAGATCTAAGGAGAATTCATTACTTGCTCATGAACCCGGTCTCTCTTCTTGGTTTTGACACAAATACCCTTGTAGTTTGCTTAAACATGCATTATGCAAGAGCGAAATCTGGATATTGCAGGTCTTTCTTTAGGCCTGAAATGTCATATAAACTATTAATTAGACATTAATTAACTTAGCCAAACCATAATCAATTCTCAATGTCAACGCTAGCCTGCGATCTTTAGTGGATTATGAGCATATTTACTGATACTTAACTTTCATTCTTGATTTAATCATGAAATGGATAATCAAACTATGTATTTTATTGTACCGACTTTAGTAATGATGATCGAGGCTAAAATATCGCTTCAGGGTGGATCAATTTAACTGAAATTTTCAGCAAATTTCCTTTACATTATCTAGATTTTAACTATTATAGTGAGAACTGCCTGCTCTTTATGAATCTCCCATAATGTATCTTTAAGCAAATAACTAATATGTCCTGTTTACACGCAATAATATGATTATTATTACTTACAGTTTTTCTATGGCACACCTATTCTAATACTGCCGTGTTCCCATATATTCACTGTTTTCTGTTATTGAGTGTAGTACTAGTCATTAGATGTGAATGTTCAGCACAGACAAAATGTTAAAAGTTTCAGATGTGAAAATTTGCAGATAGCTTTATTCCTACGATATGTTTATTTTGTTTTAGTACTTTTAAACAATAACCGAAAAATAATCTACTTGTCTTTTAACTGTTCAGTGTTTTTTATAATGAACCTTGGGCTGCTGCAGTGGTCACCACAGAATT